TTTAGATATTCGTGATATTCATTTTTTATTTATATTCAACAAAGACAATTTCGATTCATGTCATCTGGTGTGACTAGGTGATACTGTTGGCCGTCACGCGCCTACCACAACACCCTCCTCCTTAATCTATGATATTATCTTTATTTATCATAGCTTATCTTTCTTTTCCTTTTGGTTACGATATCATGTATCGGTTCATGTTAGCCGACCCCAAAATCATTTGGGGCTAAGGCTTGGATGTTGTTGTTGTATTAAGCAAAGACAAATCAACATATATGCAAGATTTATTTTTTCAATAAACATAATTTGTCATCCTTTGCATTCCAATGTGAAAATGAGCATAAGGAAATAACTTACCTTTAGCTCCCCCTAACATTTTCCGGGATCCAAGCATACCTCAATGGTGTATTTAAGATCCTAATCTATTATTTTGTCTCCAATTGTTCATTCGTAGATTATAAAGAACAGTGACCTTGAAGAGATTAGGGAGTTGGGTTCCGGCACTTTTGGCACAGTTTATCATGGAAAGTGGAGGGGAACTGATGTGGCAATAAAACGAATTAATGACAGATGCTTTGCTGGAAAACCTTCTGAACAACAACGCATGGTTCGTATTTGGAAGTTTATCCCAGTTATGTGTGTTTCCCCTTAGTTTTTGCCTTGCACAGTTACCCCTAATACAGTAACTTTTCTGTCATTTAGAGGGATGACTTCTGGAATGAGGCAATCAAACTTGCCGACTTGCACCATCCAAACGTTGTTGCTTTCTATGGTGTTGTGCTTGATGGACCTGGCGGTTCTGTGGCAACTGTTACTGAGTTCATGGTTAATGGCTCTTTGAGGAATGCTTTGCACAAGAGTGAAAGGTAACAACTTGTTTATTCAATTATGGATTTGTTTGTTCGTTTGTTTAATTATTTATCATAATAAATTGTAAGATTTGTAACACTTTCTTTAAAATTTAAAATATGACGGGAAATGATGTATTGTTTAATGTGGTCAGGATTCTTGATAAGAGGAAGCGTCTCTTGATATCGATGGATGTAGCTTTTGGAATGGAGTACTTGCATGGGAAGAACATAGTGCACTTTGACTTGAAAAGTGATAATTTATTGGTTAATCTTCGTGACCCACACCGTCCAATATGCAAGGTTAGAATGTAAGATACCCCTTGTGGTGGTTTACTCTTCCTATAGTTTGTTTTTGTTGGCTACTTGCCAATGTAGTACATCTACTTCCACAAGAGTATAAATTCTCAGCAGTGCGATGTGAAATGCCAAATCAGTACATTTAAGGATTACCTGTTTTTCATTGATTTAGGTTGGTGACTTGGGTCTGTCCAAGGTGAAATGCCAGACATTAATCTCAGGTGGAGTGAGAGGAACTCTCCCTTGGATGGCACCGGAACTTCTTAACGGTAGCAGTAGCCTTGTCTCAGAGAAGGTAGTTAATTTAACACATTGTGAAAGTATAAAGGCCTTTAATCTTGTGTTAAAAAGGATTATACAAGAAGATATATTATATATATATATGTATGTATACATACACACACAGTCACACATATATAAATCAATAGGGTAACTAGGGTACGCCCAATACAATTGGGTTAGGGTTTCAACACTCAAGATGGAGCATATAAAGGATATGCACGAAGTTCATTACAGTGATATTTTATTTTTAAAACTTCAAGATATTTTGTTAAAACTTTTACAAGTTTTCAAGTCTTGTTAACACAACTTATGAAAATATGGTACTTCTATGATCGTTTCTCTCATGAAATAAAAATCAACCTCAAGGTTGTTATGAATGTGATGCAAGGTGTGGCACCAGTGGACCGCTTTAGGAGACAAGATCCACCTGGTTAACCTTTTGTTATACTATATCAGTATACATAGGCATGGACCCGGGTCGCTCTGGTTCCGAGCCAAGACCGCCCGATCCTTTCCAATTTTGGTTGAAGCCCGAGGCCAACCTGGTTATTTCCGGTTCCGGGCCAGTTCTGGGTACCCGGTCTCGGTCCGGTTCCTGTTCCGGACCTAGACCCGATTCCGTTAATTTTTTTTGCCCAGTTCCAAGGTTGAAATAAAAAAATCACCTTGCTGGACTGAAACTGGGACCGGTACCACCCAGTTCGATCTCCAAATCTATAAATTGGGACGGGGTACCCCTCTTGGCCGGACAAGGCCGGTCCTAGGCTCAAAACCAGAAAAACGAACCCGGTCATGGCCAAACAGTACTGAACCTGGTTACGGACCGGGTCCATCCGTCCATGCCTAGGTATACATAGTTTCAACAAAGGTTAATTATTGTACAATGTGGGCTAAACCCAATACAATAAGGATTAGGATTTCAACACACATCTTTACCAATATCTTCATTAAGCATTGCTTTAAGATTATTGTGATTCCATAATTAAAGACCTTTTTTTACTTCTCTTTTTTTAGCCTGAAAATGTTAATGGCTACGCTTTTAGGTTGACGTGTTTTCATTTGGAATCGTGATGTGGGAACTTCTAACAGGAGAAGAACCCTATGCGGATTTGCATTATGGAGCCATAATCGGTAAGATTTCCATATATGTTAATTCAGTAAAAGTTGTTAACAACACCTGCTAGACAGGCCTTCATCAGACCTGTCATTTTCCATCCCAGAACTAATACTCTTACTTTCAAAAGGCTTTAGGGAGTGTTTTCTATTACTTAAAAAGTGCTTTTCATCTTTTTTTAACTTAAAAAAAGTTAAAGAGAGTGTTTTCAAACACCAACTTCTACTTAAATTAATCAGTTTAAAGCCAAAAGCTGGAAGCTGGGAAGTTGGTGCTTCTATGAGTTCTATCTGCTTCTAGGTATTTCTGTAAATACTTCAAACTTTAAGGCCAATCATTATGACAAGTTTTATCCCAAAAAGTCAAAAGTAACCTCTCTCTATTCCCTATACAACAATGGGATCTTTAATTCGGAGCCATTGACGGCGAGCCCCATCACCGGATTGTCTCCGCACGGTGGGGTATCATGGTGGGCGACGGCCATCTTCGAACAGAAGGGTTGGATTTGCCACTCCATGGCCAGCAACAAGAACTCGGCCGATAGGAGCATTTGGCTACTCAAAATTAGCACACTATCCTTCCGGCAGATTCACTGTAATCAAGGTTTGTAATCAAGGTTAGCTCTGGCGAAGCTACTTGGCAAGAGGCAAAAAGGGCAAGGTGCACTGCAGTTAAAGCTATTCGAACAGAAGGATTAGGCCTGGTGCAGAATTACGATTGTATTTTATTAAGGACATTTTCGTACTTTAATAAAATGTAACATCAAAAATCACTTTTTTTACCACACTCCAACTTTAACTTTTCTATCAAAAGTAATTCTATTCTAAAACACTACCAACTTTTACTAATACTACCTCCGTCCCAAATTATAAGATACTTTTCGGTTTATGATGTTTGATCGATGATAAAACAAACGGATCCCTGTATGCACTCAAATTATTTTGTGGGAAAAAAAATTACATATTTCGAAATCACATTAAACCCGTTACATAACCTGCAAAAAATAATTAAAATTTCATAAAATTTTGATATGTAAAGTAAGAGATTAAGAGTGACTTGTGTTGACCAAGTGAACAGTAAAAATATCTTATAAAATGGGATAGAGGGAGTAATCACTTTCTCTAAAATCACTTTAAAAAATCACTTCTTTTAAGTTGAAGCAACCGCAAACACTCCCTTAATTTCACTAGTCAGAGTTTTTACTTCGTAGAGTTATAGCCATCAAGGTTTTTAGCTCAAAAGTGATCGAGCTCTTTGGGGCTGTCTCGCCCAAGTTTTTTTTTTTTTTAAAATTGAGTCGAGTTTGACTGTGGGCATTATGGTTATGACAGGTGGTATAGTGAGCAACACGTTGCGGCCATCAACGCCAGAATCTTGTGATGCTGATTGGAAATCACTGATGGAGAGATGTTGGTCAGCAGAACCCTCAGAAAGGCCAACCTTTACTGAGATTGCTAATGAGTTGCGAGCTATAGCAACCAAGCTTCCTAGTAAAGGACAGCAACCAGCCCCCTCAACACAAACCCAACCTAGGAGTTAATCTTACACAGTAGTACTGTAGTGTACATAATCTAGCGTGTTTTTACAAGGTTCTTGCCTTCTGCTTTCAGTTTGATCAGAATGTCAAAGCTCATGTAGGAAACTGGAAACATACGTTTATGCTAAAATGGTGTTAGCTCAGGAAAGAGAAAAAAGCAGTTTGAGTTGTACATTTTTTTATTCACGTTGCATGCCTTTATGATAATCAAGCCATTATGAACTGAGTTCACCAGCTTCAGGTCCTGTTAAGCGAACCCCGACTTCTGGGTTTTTACCAATTATAGGAAACCTTAGTTAAAAAATAAAAAATCAGGATCAGGATTGGGACCGGGTGACTCCTTGGCAATATCAAGTCAAATAGTAATGGGCCAACTGGCCAAAAAACGGCCCTATCCAGTTCCGGATTTCTGATTCGGTCATGGGCCAAAAAAACATTTGTTTCATGTATGAAACTTGTCGACCCCTAATAATGTGTTTTGATATGGGCACAAACAATGTTAGTGTCGCATATACAGAAAACAAGATGTGCCTACTCGCATAGTCGCATACTCCAGTATAATATCATGTAGTGACTTTCATTAACCAGGTTGGCCGACAAAATTTCCAATCTTACACTCACATTGTTGTATATGCAGGCAGGAAGACAAGCATGAATAATCTAGCGTATATAAGTATTGTATATTTGTATATATAGGCAGGTAAGACAGGGCTTAAATACTCTAGCATCTATAAGTATTGTATATGTAGGCAGGTAAGACGGGCATAAATACTCTAACATATATAAGTATTGTATATTTAGGCAGGTAAGACGGGCATAAATACTCTAACATATATAAGTATTGTATATGGAGGCAGGTAAGACAACCATAAATACTCTGTAGCTCTTTATATATACTACGTATTATATAGCATCTGCCAGAAAGTGTTGAAGTAATTTGGGATGTGACCTGGAGGTTAGATCAACCACATAACAGCTATTAAAACACATATCAAACAGCTAATACGCATCCTAAGCTTAAAGTAGACTATATGTTGTTGCCAATGTCCACTAAGTTTTAATGTTTTATATAAATAAATTACCTGGAGATCTAAACCATCACCTACACATATACTTGTGCTAACAAAGAACAGTGTACAACCCCAAAGTGAAATCCCCTAGAAATGTAGATGCTGCCACGCCAACCAGCAAAAAATATATTACTAATGTATACACATTTATACTCCTCCCGACACAAAAACATACAATCTAGTACATCGGAAGTCTAGAACTGATAGGGTCTTGAAACTCTGTCTTTTAATTTTTACTTGCCAAACCTTTGGTTGATTCAAGGTTGATTCTTGTATCCTCTGATATAAGTATTACTGATGACTTCTCACATGAAATGCTCGCTGTTTGATTTTTCACCTGCACTATTTTCCAAAAAGATCGAGTTGGTTTGGAAATTATTTAAAAGATCTTGTGCTTTTCTTCATACAAGGAAAATAGAAATGTATATGTAGTGTGCCATCATAAACCCACCCCCACACTCTACTACCTCTTGCGTTTGCTCTTCTGAGAAGAAGTTGATGAGGAAGCATTGCTATGCCAATTTCTCTTCCTTTGATTGATGAACCAATTGTTTATCTGTTTCAATTGCAACCCAGTTTCTGCTACTAACCTTGCTTTGTCTTCCTCCTGAAGCAAAAGTGAAGAAGACGGTGAGGAGGCTTATAAAGGATAAGGAATTTTGAGTGTTAGGACCCGAGGAGGAACGTGTAGTGGAGCATTATTTATGTTGCATACCGTTGGATAAGGCCATTTTGAGTGTGACTGCCACCAAGCCTTTAGGACAGAAGTAGTGTCCCCAGGCAACTTTCCCGCCCTTCTTTTGCGTAAAATTTCCTCTCTGATGTCTCCTATCTTTTCTTTGTAACCCTGGAAAACAGGAAACTGTTGACTACGGAACAGATAGGGATATCAGCAATATAATATCAAAGTGAATATCAATGTTACCTGTTTGAGCTCATGCTTCAACTCTTGTCGCACTCGCTCCATCAGTGACCTTTCAGTTTCAGTAGGAACTAGAGGGCCGAAGCCCATGGAGTCTGGCCCATCAAAACCTCCATCGAACAAGTTGGCATCACTGTCGTCGTGGTCTTCATCATCATCAGACATCGTTGCACCTGTACCTTCACCTGGCGCTACCCCTGTCAAGCTTTCACTGTTAATATAATAACATGGAAACGTAAATTGTATCTATAACAGACAGTGAGAAATTTGATAGCATCTGGCCAATTTCTTTTTAAACTAATCAGCCCCATGAGGAAGCATATTGAATCGCTTAGAACAGGTGTGCCATTTAAGTGGCCATCTATTTCCCATTTTTTCAGCTTATCAACCAATCTTTATTTACCAAAAACTAATTAATTTGATTGGCGTGCTGATATGGATAATAATGAAAAAAGGTATGGCCAGAGTAACATATCAGCCTTCTTTTCATATACGTACATATTTTTTAATTAATTGAAAAAATATCTAATTTAAATATATGTCTTCATAATTCTGGATTTCAGCGACTTTATTGATACTATTCACGATTTCATTTCATTCACCCTTATTAAACAAGCAGTAAACTAATAAAACATGAGAATGGGTAAAGAAAGCTGCTCTGATATTTTAGACCTGTTAAGCTCTGTAGGGATTGCTCAAGTTCCCAGCAGGCCATGACAGCTTCCATAGCATGCACTCGGACATGTTGCTGCAGTTGTTCTTTGAAGGAAGAGAGCAACAAAACATAATGTGTCTACATCATTCAGAACAATTAAAAAGAAGAAGAAATGTTAAAGTTGATGCAATTACAACAAAACTTCACGTAGTAACAGATATTCAAAAGCAGGAGAAAACAAGAAATGTTTCATTCAATGGGGATATTCTAAAATTGTTTTTAATTAACTTCTCCATCTTTGTTTATGTTAATTATGTGTGCACATGGTATAATGTGTAGAGAATCAAGAATAAGGGTTTTTGTCTGATTATAAGAGAACAATAACAAAATGAAGAATAATTGTAGTTAAATTTGTTAACTTTCAGAGGAACATGAGAACACAACACAGAAGAGACGAAATAACAAGTGGGAAACGTTACATCAATTAGTAGATTCTTTACAACAATCCATGGGTCAGCCTCAGTAATTGGTCTGTGATAAGACACAACAGATAGGCCAGCTAATGGCACCAATAAACAGCATTGCTCATTTAATACTCCACCTTTCTGATGGCAGAAACAAGAACATGATAATAACTCTTGTATGTTCTTGGATTGAAAGACTTCCCAAATCTCCAGACCTTATCCCTTCCTAAAAGTCTTCCCAAACCACGCAAATATGGAAATAGGTTTTGTTTACTCAAAAGAAAATAGCTGTAAGAAGTAAAGATTGGTGGAGAACAAACCCTTGTATCAAAAGTTACACCAAAGATAGATTTGACGCACAACATAATTTTCACAAAATTTTGTCACAATTCAAACATTACTTAAGAAGCCTTGCAAAATTACCATATTATCCTTATTTCAGGCAAAGTTTAAAGATTAGTCAAATAAATTCATTGAATTAAACTCAGAAAAGGAAATTTGGAGCTAAAACTACAATTAAATTTGGTGCAGAGGAAGTATGTTGTTTGTTAAAATGAGATGATAGGACTAAGCTAAAATTCAGAAGGAATGAATGAAGAAAGAGGATTACCATGAACTGATCAAGGTCTTTCTCATCCAGAGGCGGTTGACCCTGACCGAGAACAGAGTACTTAGCGACAACGTTGTGGGACTGAGCGAGCTGAGAGTCGATTCTGGAGAGCTGGTCGACCGGCGTGGCGATTCTCAGGCACGAGATGTGAGCCGCCAGCAGTTGATCGTACAGAGGATGGCTCAGAACGTCCGCCTTGCACTTGTCCCTCTCCCAGCTGCTCTTCTCGCTGCTATGGCGATTGTCGTTGTTCCCTCCGTCGCCCTCCCTGTGCTGGCCGAGATTTTTCATCGATTCCGAGGCGTGCTCGGAGGGAGAGAGCCAGTGGTTGGAGGTGGAGGAGTCGGAGTTGTTGGAGGTCTGGAGGTGGAGGAAGTTGGGGGAGCCGGTGAAGTGGCGGCGGAGGAGGGAGGCGTTGAGCCAGGTGGAGGAGGGCGGAGACTTGGGAGAAGGAGAGGGTTGCTGATCGGGAAGCATAGAGCGCAAAACGACCGCGTTTTGGTGGTGGTGGTGGTGGTGTTGCTGGAGAGCCATTTCCTGCTCTTCAGAGAGGTGGTCCTGAAACTCCATAGCTATAATATATGTACACTGTACACGCTCTGAAATATAAAGGACAAAGTTATCATTTCATTTGGACTGATTCAACATTTTATAGTACCTTTTGTTAACTCATGCCACACTGTATGTATAATATCCGTATTAGAAATTTTATACTCCGTATTCCAAAAGATCAAATACCAAGTTTTTAAAAAAAATCAAATTTGTTCTACCTTGAGTATAAAAATTGGCAGTATTACCTCTCCCATTTTATATATCTTAGTTTGACTTGACACGATTATTGATAAAGTGATTAAAAAAGTAAAAGTTGTAGTTGAAGTTTGAGTATAATAAAGTGAAATGTTGTAAGCCACATATTTCTTTACAAAGTGGAAAAGAGACACTTATTTTGGAACAACCTAAAAAGGAAAGTAAGACAGATAACATGGGACGGGGAGAGTGTTGTTTAAGCTAAAATGACTACATTTATCGTGTAAAAACTATTTAGTGAGTGTAAAAATGGCAAGTATTGTTTAAGCCAAAATAACTACATTTGATGAGTAAAATCCAGTTAGTAATGGACAAAGTATTATTTGTTCATCATAATCATCCTAATGATCGATTATTTTAAAACAAATCCAATTTTAGAGACTTTTCGTCAATAATGGTGACCTCTTAGGCGCTTACTTGCTTTGCCAATTAAGAAAAGTATCTGAGTTTAATAATATAATCTCAACTATATGTGATGACTTCTATTAAAACTTTAAAATTAGATGACAATTTCCATAAATAAATGAAAAATGAGCATAGTTTGGATTATTTATAAAATAAGCATAGTTTCTATTTAAAAGTGACCTACTATAATAGGTCATGCCTCGTTTATGGATCTTGACGAACAATTCATATAACTGGGATTATATAGAAATAATCGTTGAAATTATTGTGAGTAAATCGATAATAGTTAAGATTATTATTTTCAATTTTCTCTTTAGCAAGTAAGATGAATTATAAACTTCTTTTATCCCATTAATGTTTTTTATGATTTCGCTTTTCTTCCACTTAAAAAAATGGTTGCTTTGCGAAATAATTAAAAAAAAACTTTTACACTCTCAGGCTCTCAGCTCATTATTCAAGATTTATTTTGATGGTAAAACAGTGTAATAGATTTTTTATGTTTTGCAAAATCGTGAAATAAGCAAGGGCTAGAACCTAAAACAAAAGATATTTGACAAATAATAGGCAGTACTGAAAGATGAATACTTCGTATGCATGACAATCAATGGTTAGGGGTGTTTGGATCTGATTCTTAAAACTGCTTATGCTTTTTCAGGGAACAGAAGCAGCTCCTCCATGGAGCAGAAGCAGAAATTGGAGTGTTTGGAAGAAAGTGCACAAGTGATTCTGGTGCTTGATGTGTGTTTTCTCGCACTTAAAATAATTGTAATATAGTGGTGTAAGTACGAGTATCGTCCCCACAGGGACGGACAGAGAATCAAAGATTAACTAAATTCAACGATTAAAAAGAAATAAATAAAAATGCGTCGTGCGAGATTGGTTGCTGGAAAATAAAAATGCGAATAAAACGATTAAACTAGGGGATTCTTTCTAATTAATGACGAAGGGAACATGGATTGATTACATGAAATTAATTCAATTGAGCCTAGCTAATCATTACTAAGTTCTCACCGTTCTTGCGGCGTAGAGTACAATAATTTAGGGGACCAGACTGATCTCTCATGCGACAGGATCCTAAATTATTGCCAAGACGAGCGAGCTTACGGCCCCTTAATCGCTACTAATCTCTTAGCGAACGATTAAGTGTGTGTGAAGGTGTCCTAGAATAAACTAGATATCTCTTAATTTATTCTACAAGCAATTGTAATTCTAGCGGCCGTTCCAGGTTACAAGAGATATCAATTAAATTATCCAAACACAAATTAAACGGCATTTATGCAATTAACCCATCAAGAATCTAGCCATTAGGGGTGAGCATAACCCGAACCCACCCGACCACCCGATCGGGTCTGCCCTCTTGTAGCCGATTGGGTCGGTTGACCCGAACCCGAAAACCCGAACCGAAAAGCCCAGCCCATGTTTTAAGGGTTATGGGTTACGGGTAGGGTATTATAAATCCCTACCCGACCCGCCCGACCACCCGAACTACCCATACTATATATACGAATTATTTAACCCTAACCCTAACCCTAACACTCCAACGCCTCCACTCTTCACTCGCAACTCTCTCTCTCAATCTCTCACTTTCTCGGTCTCTCCTACTGCGACTCCTGCGAGTCTGCGACTTCTCTCTAACCCATCCCTGTCAACTCTCCGTCGTAGGTCCGACCTCTGTAGTCTGTTTGTACCTCCGGACTCCGGTGGAAGCTTGTACTCCGATTTCATTGCTTCTTCGTACCGGGCTTACGAAGTTACGAAGTTTGCAAGGCATTGTGGTCTTCTACTCTTGTGATCTTGTGGATTCGTGGAAGCTTGCAACCCATTCGATAATTTTAATTCTTACTAAGGTATAAACGTTAAATACCTAAATTGTATGCTTGGTCCGTTGTGAATCTGTGATAAACCATTTAATGCATGTTTCGATATGTATTATTGCCTTTGAAAAGTGATTTGGTGGAAGCATGATCCCTAAGTGTGATGTGTTATCTGTTTTATATATGAATTAGTTGTATTATTTTGATGCACTGTTATGTGTTTGGTGGAAGCTTGAAACCCTAGATTCGGACCATGATACCCTTTGTATGAACTACCTATTAATCTGTGATGCTTTGGTGATGCCTATGAATCTATGATTCTGAGATTTTGATATAAATGGCCTCTGAATATGTGATGCCTCGATGATACCTGTGTGATTATGAGATTATTATATAAATGGACCCTCAGTAAAGATGATGGTTGATTTAATATGAGTTCTGAGTCTTTTGACATGTGTTGAAGTTGCCTTTTTCTACTCTAACACTCAAACGAGTAGTTAGAGTGAACTGGTATCTTCTAAGTCTGTAGAGAAGTGAATAAGCCTACTGCTTATATCCTTCTGTAGATCAGCTTGCTGATTGTTCCAGACTATAATGTAATTGTATGATGTTGTGTTCAATCTGGAAGCTTGCATTGAGTTTTTTGAACTATATATTCCTATCACCTATCAGAATGGAAGTTGAATGTATGGATACCATACCAGCATCTGGCTCTCAACCTCCTCTGACTCCTGTTTCCCAAGAACCTATGGTGGAAGCTCATGATGCTGGGGCTAACACCAGCACACAACAGACTAATGTTGCTGGAAATAAGAGAAAGGAGGTAGAGTCCAGATCTAAAATATGGGATCAATTTGACAAGATCAAAGATAGTAATGGTGTTGTTGTCAAAGGAAAATGCATACATTGTGGTAAAATTTATTGTTGTCAGTCTAAGAAGCATGGTACTTCCTCTCTTAGAAATCACATACTCAGTTGTTTGAAATTGTCTGCCTCAAAGGATGCTAGGCAAGCCCTTCTCACTTTCCAACCAGTCCTGTGTAATCCAACATCTGAAAAAACTGGGGTGTTAGGGACTTGGGTGTTTGATCAGGTTGCAATTAGGAGAGCACTTGCTGAGATGCTTATCATTGATGAGTTGTCATTTAGATTTGTGGACAGACAAGGATTTAGGAAGTTTATCTCTGTAGCTTGTCCTAGGTTCCAAATTCCTTCTAGATGGACAATTGCTAGAGATATCTACCAAATCTTTTTAGATGAGAAATTAAGTCTGAAAAGGTTGTTTAGGGAACACACTCAGAGGGTCAGCATAACAACTGACACATGGACCTCTGTACAAAGGATCAATTACATGTGTATAACTGCACATTTCATTGATAATGAGTGGAAGCTGAATAAAAAATAATTTCCTTTGTTCCTGTGACTTCCCACAAAGGAGAGTACTTAGTTAAAGCCCTAGAGTCTTGCCTGGTAGATTGGGGATTGAAATCTATCTTCACTGTAACTGTTGATAATGCAAGCAGTAATGACACTGCAATTGGTTTTTTTAAAAAGAAGCTTTTATCTTGGGGTGCCTCTTCTGTAAAAGTTAAGTACCTTCATATGAGGTGTATTGCTCATATCCTTAATTTGGCTGTCCAAGATGGCTTAAAAGAAAGTGATTCTTCTGTTCAAAGAGTCAGGGATGCTGTTAAGTATGTTAGAAATTCTCCTGCTAGGCTTCAAAAATTCAAGGACATTTCAGACTTGATTGGAATGGAAACTAAAGCTGGATTGCACCTAGATGTCCCAACTAGGTGGAATTCAACCTATTTGATGCTCAAATCTGCAATGTCCAATGAAAAAGTGTTTGAAGCTTATGAGGAGAATGAGAGTTCCTATCTTGTTGATCTGGGGAGTGAGAGTCCTGATGTTGGGGACTGGAATGCAATTGAAACTTTGGTGGTCATTCTTAAAAATTTCTATGATATGACACTTAGGATTTCAGGGTCTCTTTATGTCACTGCAAATACCTTCTTCTCTGAAATATCTGATCTGTTCCTTGTTCTCAAAGATATGGTTGCTTCTGAAACTGAATCTGTATCTAATATGGGGACTAGTATGAAATCCAAACTGGACAAGTACTGGGGTGATCCAGAAAAAATGAACATGCTCATTTTCTTTGCAAATGTGCTTGATCCTAGAGACAAATATGAGTACATGCCACATCAATTGAATGCTTTGTATGGGGATAAGATAGGTGAGGCATTCTTTGCAAAGATAAAGCTGGGTTTGAATGAGTTGTATGGTGATTATGTTACAAACTATGATGTTTCAGTCAGTGGAAGCTCTCAATTAACCCCCAGTTCTGTTTCTTTACAATCTGAGTCAACTGAAAGTAGGCCTGTATCAAAATTCAAAGCCCAATTGAAAAAGCAAAAACAAGATAGTGGCCTCTTAGGGTTGAAAAAAAATGAACTTGAACTATATTTGAGTGAGAACATTCTTGAGGAGGACAGTGAATTTGATATACTGAGATGGTGGAAGCTTAATGGTGAGAGGTTTCCTATCCTATCTAAGATGGCAAGAGACATTCTTGCTGTTCCTATTTCCACAGTAGCATCTGAATCCACTTTTAGTACAAGT